AGAGCTGTGCTGGTCGGACTGCTCATCAAGCATCTCCCGCTGGATCTAATCTCACTATATTTGCTAAACGTGATATTTCATTAATCTTGTTGTCTCTATCTAACGACATATTCCCCGACTTTGGTCTTTTGAATCGATTACTTGTTCACAGGTAACGTGATTTGACTGAGCGCAAAGATAAGTTAATGATTAATGTAACCACATACAGTTGAAGTCAGAATTATTAGCCCCCTTCGAATTTTTTTCTTCTTTTTTAAATATTTTCCAAATGATGTTTAACAGAGCAAGGAAATTTTCACAGTATGTCTGATTATATTTTTCTTCTGGAGAAAGTCTTATTTGTTTTTATTTCCGCTCGAATAAAAGCAGTTATTAATTTTTTAAACACCATTTTAGGGACTAAATTATTAGCCCCTTTAAGCTATATTTTTTCTCGATAATCTACAGCACAAACCATTGTTATACAATAACTTGCCTAATTCCCCTAACCTTCACCTAATTAACCTAGTTAAGCCTTTAAATGTCACTTTAAACTGTATAGAAGTATCTATAAAACATCTAGTAAAATATTATTTACTGTCATCATGGTAAAGAGAAAATAAATCCATTATTAGAGGTGAGTTATTAAAACTATCATGATTAGAAATCTGCTGAAAAAATCTTCCCTCCATTAAACAGAAAATAGGGAAAAAATAAACAAGTGGTCTAATAATTCAAGGGGGCTAATAACTCTGACTTCAACAATATACATTCTGTTTATTGACTGATCGTATGCCTTTATTTCCTGTAATGTATAAACTTATTGTGCGTTATACTTTCATAATGGCTATTATTGTTTATTAAAACTGACATTCAGCAAAGCAGAGGATACGTTTCGTATTTTCAATGAAAATGAAAGGAGGCAGGGATGTTATATAGGCTCTGTTTTATTATAAATATGCACACAGTGAAGATGCAGCACGACGCCTCAACATTTCTGCTGTCCGTTCAGTTGTTAATATCAAAATGAAAATAGGCAGTTCCTTAAATCATGTTTTCATTTTATTGTTGATGAAGTGAAACAACGTTGCCCGGATGATGTGAATAAGGTTATAAAGTGCACTGTTCCCTTTGAAGATTTACCCGACGTGTCCTCGAGGGTCTGTTCTCCATATCAAACTAGCGAAGTCTGAACTTACAGGGAGAGGATGCAGGACTGAACTGTGTGTGTCGGCTACTTGATATTGAGGAAAAGCCCCAATCAGAGAGGCGAATGTCTGCAGATCCGCCTTCATTTTTAGATGTCTCCGTTTTCCCCCATCCACACTGAGACGGAGCAGCAGCATTGTAGAATGAAAACCGCCTCTTCAGCGTTTTCGTTTCTGTTTTCAGCACTCGAAAACTCCGGCGTAGTGTGGACGGATGCGTAACCGTAGCAAAACTTGTGCGTTTTAAAACGAAAACCTTAGAGGTGCCTTAGAAAACTATATAACATTATTTGTGTGGTATTTTGAGCTGAAACTTCACACATACACACTCACTAGGGACATCCGAGGCTTATTTTAGATCTTGTGAATCTTCCCCATTGATAACGCCCCATATACAACAACTGCTAATCATTGTGAGAGAGCTTGAGAACGAATGAACAGAAATATGATGAAGACTTGATTTTAGAATATACGCATGATAATTGATAAGGATTAAGGTCAGGTTTGTAGAGTGACCCTTTAAGGGCCTGGCATGCGTTTAATATTCAGGGGGTGGAGCTCTGGGAGGTGAGTGTACATTCAGAGAGTCAGGACCCCGCTGTGACCCCTCTCCATTATTCATTCCTTAAAAAAAAGAGAGAGGGATGGAAACAGATCCACCCAGAAGGAGAAAAGCATGGGTTTAACTCCAGTGCATGGCACTCTGACCCTGTATTAGAAAGGCTGCAGAAAACCCAGGGAGTGCTGGACGTTACATTTTTAAACACTCCCTGGGGCTCACTTTAAGGGCCAACAGCTCGCCCTATACATCCAGAGAGAGAGAGGGAGGCGGGAGAAGATATGATCTCTTCAGATGTGTTCAGAGGTAATGTGTGCTTGACATGAGTGTGTGAACTCATCCAGCGCATGGAGAGTGTGTGTTCAAGTCCACACCGAACAGCTTGAGGACGTAGTCGTAATGATTCGCCCTCCGTAAAAAACTGTATTCCTTTTTAAAAAAAAAGTTTTCCATGAGCTGTTCAACGGAGAGAATGTTTCTCTCAACATTTTATAACGTAATCGTTTTAATAACTCAATTCTAATAATACATTTATTCGCAATGGTGACACTGTGTATGTTTATATCGATGCCAATAACCCAATTTTAAAGAGCCCATATTATGGGTTTTTGAAAATTCCCCTCCATGTAGTGTGTAACACAGCTCTAAGTGAAGTGAAGTATCCAGCTAAGGCTTAAATCTGTAAGTGTACAGTGTTTAAAACAGTTGATTCATCTATAAAAGAGTCGACTGATAGTGCTTCAAACGAGTCGCCTTGATACTGATTCATTAGGTGTTTCGCCATGACGTACGAACGAAACCAAGTTATTTACGTGCACGCGCAAACCCGGGAGATTTGAAACCTGTGGCCCCGCCCTCTGACGCAGAAACTCAGACACACACACACACACACACAAACACACACACACACACAAACATGCCAGTCGATTGAAGTCACACTGCAGATGGATATTATCGAGTCTCTACCCAAAGATGAAACCTCAGCATTATAACCAAGCAGTTGGAAACTACTGGAAACTTCTGGAAACTACATGCTACAAAGAATACTTCATCGGCGTTTGTTAAAGGAAGGATCAGTAAAGAGTAACTTACTGATGGACATGTCAGGATGGGTTTCTTCCTCCATTTCTCAAGTGTAAGTACGTGCGATTAAAGTTGTTGCCTCGTTGACTCTAGCTTGCAAATGTATTTAGTTGTGATTTGTTACTTGTAACCGCGTGTACTGTATCAGGTTAACTGGCTATATTCTCTTATTGCGTGCAAAGCCACGTTAAAAACGTGACGCGTGCTGCTTTGTTTACGAAGCTCCGTGGAGGAGGGTAGTGTGTGTGCGTGCGTGTGTGCGCGCTGTCGTCCGGAGGTATGTGTGTGTGTGTTTGTGTGTGTACGCGCGCACGCGTTGTCGTCCGGAGGTGTGTGTGTGTTTTTGAGTGTGTGCACGCACGCGCAAGGACGAGAGCAATATGTGTGTGTGTGTGTGTGTGTCTGTGAAAAGAGCAGAATGGAGTTTTTGCTCAATAAAATAGTCAGTCGTCTGTATTTTCAAGTCCATCGTCTGTATTTACATTGACCCACTGGCAGCTAAAATCCACGCCTACACTATAGAGCGTGTATGAACTGTGATTACTTTTATATTGCTGATTAGCTGTTGGGCATTTCACTCTCTGACTGAAGGCAGTCGACCAATCGCAACAGACTGTCATCGGTCCAATCAGCGCAGATTAGCTTCGCGCTAAGGAGGGGTTTGGAAACAAATGAATCCCTGGACGATTCATACAGGAGTCGCTGGGATAATTAGGTAAAAATAAATGCAGATTATAAGACCACGAAAGTGTTTTTTGACCTTGCATGCATATTAGACTGTTGTTGGAGACCCTTACAACCAAGATATGACCCTATTTCATCTATAATATGGGCTCTTTAATACGATGAAGACAATACTCTGATTAAGAGTATTCAATGTAAACAGTGATTTTTTGATTGATTTAATCCAATTTAGGTCATAATCGAACTGAACAGAAATCGGATTAAGACTGTATGCTGTAAGTTATCGAAGTGCAGTACAGACATGTAAACATGGCAATCAAACTATTAGCATCATGTAGGATTTTCGTCGCATTTTGCATGAGGATAGTCTATACACGCACGGCTGTTTGACTCTATTCTCCCCACAGAGTCAATGAAAAACCACAGACACCTGCATTGCAAAAGGTTTTTCCCCATACGGCAGAATCAACCTCCATTAAAGCAAAACTCTTCCAGCAGTTCATACTCGCATCCAATATCTCGTTTGTGACGGGGGGCATGCATGACATGTTCCTGAATGAAAGTGAGGGTTCATGCACATTTTTACTACTAAAATTCCATGACTTACAAAACTTTCAGGTAAATATTCATGACCGAATGTTTCATGTAATGTCCACGTACGGGTTATTACAGCATATAAAAAACATATGTGACAATCTATGTAGTTTGTTTATTTTTATACCTGTAAAATAGTTTTTAGAAAATAACTTGTTTGAATTTTGAGAAATGTAGGCTTCGCTGTAAAAAAATTAAAAAATAAAAAGGTCAAATGACTGGCAGCTACGGCTGCCAAACAAAAACCATAAAATTAATTCTAAAATTAATCAATTAATTAATTCTTTGTTGAAATAAAATGTAAAACAATAATAAATATTTTCCTAGATTATGGTAATAATTATGGCCTTGTCAAATAGTCCTCTGATGATGTGTGAATATAATAGTCCTGTTGCTTTGATGATAAATATATCTATCGATAAACTGTGTCCCCTGACTTCCCGTCCTGGTGCGCACTTTTTGTTCATCAAAGCGACTGGACTACAATCGGACTACATTCACACTAGCACTGAGAACTGTTTGACCATATTAAAGAATATAAATTAAAGCTAATAATATTGTAAATAATGTTCAGTTTCTGACACTTACGCTATAATATCAATCATTATCAGATTCAGCTCAAAATCTTCTTTAATGTTCTACTGAACAAAAAAAAAAAAGTCACATTTTGGGTGAACTATCCATTTACCACAACTTCCTAAAGCTAACAATGACGAAAACAAAGTGTGAATGTTTTTAAACCCAAGCAGTGATGATTGTGGGAGTGAGAGAATCACCTTTCTGTCGCTCTCTCAGCTCAAAGTGTGTAAAGTCAATTGCTGAACATCTATTTAGGATGCAGATATCAAAGGTCCAGCAAACAGTGGAGTGGATATTAAAAAGGCAGAACTTACCAGATGTTCTGATCCGGCTTTGATGTTTCCTGTTTCCCTGCAACAGAAGAACACATTTGCTGCACTGTAAATAACGCAAAAGACACCAAGCGTCTCCTCGCCCTTTGCTCCCACTCCTTTTCCCGTGGATCGCCCATAATTGCTGTTTTTTTATTTATGTAGTTCTTTAAGGCTGTGCTGATTTCATCCATTTTTATTTTGCTCATCGAGCTCCACGAGGTTAAGAGATTTCAAAAGGGCTACAAGTTGAACAGAGTTGGAGAGGAAATCAAAAAAATGACACAGGTTAAAGACAGCTGCTCTTCAGAAGAATAATGATGCGCGCAGATGCATTGTGGGTGTGTGTTTACATTAAATAACCAGCTATTGTGTCTCATTAATTCAATGCATTTGCAAGTATACAGAGCAGCCATACTTGTGAAGTGTGGAAGTGTTTGAACACTTCAGTGTGAAATTTGAGTTGCCAGTTTTTACAATAGATCTGTCTTTTCTGAACTTTTCTTAAAGGGTCACGAAACACCAAAACACATGTGTTGAGCTGTTGACAGTGGTATATGTGTCCCACACTGCTAAAAACACTATTAGGACACCTATATTTCACTAAAAAGTGTAAATTGGTTGTTTTGCGTTATTTCAAGCAAATTTGTACTTCCGGTTTGAAACGAATTTTTGAAGCTGCGTCACGGTCATGAGATAATAGCGTGTATTCCAGCGTGCAGACTGGACGTCTGTGCCAGAGTGTGTCTTATTACGTCTTACAGTGTGCTGCATTAATGCATGAGTAAGGCTTGGTTCAAACCAATCAGGGCGCTCTATTGTGCAACTTCATTAATATTCATTACTGTCACAGTGTTTAGACGACAGAGACGCCACGTTGTATTGGCAAAACAAGCGTGAAGTGTTGCTTTTATTGTTTGCTGCAGTGAAGTTTTGTTTTCATTTTCTCTCTGTGAGAGCTCAGCTGGAGTCACGTGTGGATTAACAGTGTACGCGACGCTTGACAACAATAACTTACATGTCTAAGGTGGAACATTGTTTAACTGAGAGCTGTTCTCATCTGCAAACGCTGAGATCCGGATTCGCTTGTAGTCTTCTCTTAATAAAGACGCGGCTCTAGTTGCTGGTGATTGTCCTGTCTCTACAGATTTGGTAAGTGAGCGACCAGTGCTCTTTGTTTATTCAGTTTGTTCGTATCAAACAAAGTATTGCACCGAGTGTAAACATGTTAACACCACAACTAAACTTTAACCTCGTGTAGGGTTTTCACCGCATTTAGTGACCGGAATCACACACTCGGCTTTCTGACGCTACCTGCCGTGTGCATCTAAGTTTCCGGGAAATGCGGAGGGTTTTTTTCCTCTCATTCGCCGTGCGGTATCAAACATTGCATGAAAAATACACGCTTACAGCAGCTCCTCGAATCAAATATCTCATTTGTCGCGAGGAACATGAATGAATTCCCTGAATGAAAGAGCCAAACTGCAGTTAAAGTCCACCATTTAATAATTTGGCAAATAATTCGACTACACATGTCCATGTAAACACAGTCACTTTCTCCCCTGTGTGTGTGTGTGTTTTGACTCTGAAATTCAGCGCGCCCAAATAGACACTCCCACACCATGCCTCTATGCTTCCTCCGACACTCCCCCCTAAACAGAGCTGGACACGCCCACTTTTCTGACTTTTTAGAAAGTAGAGGTGTGAAAACACCCTGCTGAAACGAGGGGGTTTCATGGCCCTTTAAAAGCGGTGGACATCAACTACCACTATATTAGAAGCAACTATTTAGCCTTCTACTGTACGATTTAGTTTCTGTTTCAACAATAATAATAATCTAACATTTATAAAATGCTTTTTTGGAGACTCAAAGTGCTTTACACATTTTTGGAGGGGAATCTCCTCATCCACCATTAGTGCAGCATCCACCTGGATGATGCGAAGGCAACCATCTTGTGCCGCACACCAGCTAATTGGTGGAGAGGAGGCAGAGTGATGAAGATGATGATATGGGAAGTGTTTGGAGGCCATGATTGACAGAGGCCAGTGGCAAATTTGGCCAGGATGCTGAGGTTACACCCCTACTCTTTATCGAAGGATATCATTGGATTTTTAATGACCTCGGTTTAATGCCTCATTTCCACTGACTGCTACTGTACGGTACGGTACGGTTCGGGTCGGTACAGGTCACCTTTATCAGGCTTGCGTTTCCACCACAAAGGGTCACCTTTTGGTGGGCGAGGTGTACGACAAAGTTTAAGTCGACGTCATGCTCGCTCGAATAAATGTCTACAGTAAAGCTGTACGGGTCGTTCACATATCATAATGAGCAGCACTTGCTTTATACACATAAATACTTGTGTATAAATGTTTATTAATAACTTTTCTATGAACAGGAGTTGATTATAACTGCAGATCAATGACAGGGTGAAATAGCCTACTGTAACGTCTGTAATTAAATAAAATAAATTAAAAATGTAACATATATGAACACATACAGCCTCTTTCAGTCTCCGATATAGTATTAATTACAGAAAAATTACACACAGCAAACATTTAGTACTTATTTGAGTTCAAAACACACGCAATATAGCCCACAGTCAGCGCAAACCTCTCATCTGTGTCTGTAATCTTCAGCAGCACATGTAAGCTCTGTTAGAGAGTCATTCTGTCATTCCCAGTTCATAATAGTCCAAAAGGCGAAGATAAACATGGCAGTTTGTTCATGATTCAGGTTGCTAAAACAATTTTGCTCCTGTGTTTTGCCGGCTTCTCTTTTTTTTCCGCGTTTCACTCCCGCTTCACTCTCGCGCTTGTCCTTTTTTTCTGAATGGATCCGATGACGGAGACACTTCAATAATCACACACACTCACGTTATCATCATCAGCTCAAGAAGTTCGTTATATCACATATAAACGCGGACGCGAGTTCCCGGTAGAAAGCGAATACCGCTCGCACTTTTAGACGGGCTCGTAAAACAACAACAGGACACGGCAGATTTTTCTTCTTGGCTGTGTGTCTGTTCATCGAGATGACGACAAGGTTTGTTTGAGCCCGGGTCATCCTATTATTATATGCATAAAGTATTTCAATGTAAGGTCTCGGCTTTGTATTTAAAAAAACATGGCGGTTCCTTTGTTTACGTTCTGTGTATCTCCACAAGCTCATGATGTATCTCTGTAACCAATCAGCGTTCAGCTGCACCTTTTGGTAACCTTTCTCCCATTTGGTACCCTTTCGAAAGGGTGCTGAAAAAGTTGTACGGTACGGTTTGGTTCGGTACGCTTTTGACAGTGGAAACAGCCATAAAAGCGTACCAAACCGAACCGTACCACTCAGTGGAAACGGGCCATAACATCTCACCCGAAAAACGGCATTCACTGAGCAGTAGAGTCCCTTACACTATACTGGGGTGTTAGGACCCACCGACTATTTAGCCGACTACAGTACTATTTAGTTTCTGCAAATATCCAGTTTCAATACACTGAGAAAAGACTAGTATGAAAAATATAAGACAATTTAGTGTGTTAGCAATATTTGTTGTCTATACTAGTTTTTAAATGTGAAAACAAAACACTATTTAAGGGTATTTGGAAGATTTTAAGGGCTGTATTTAAGGCCTTTTTAATCTAGTAAATACTTCAATATGGTATTTGAGTTTTTTTCAAAGTCTTTTCTCAAAATTTATCCGGCAGCTAGCTCTCTGCAACTCTCACATGGTCACCTACTAAAGCTAAGCAGGGCTGTGCCTGGTCAGTACCTGGATGGGAGACCACATGAGAAAGCTGGGTTGCTGATAGGGGGGTGTTAATGAGGCCAGCAGGGGGCGCCCAATCTGCAATATGAGTGTGTTCTATAGTGAAGGGGACTCTATACTGCTCAATGAGCACCGTCTTTGGGATGAGACGTTAAACCGAGGTCCTGACTCTCAGTGGTCATTTAAAATCGCAGGATGTCCTTCAACAAAGAGTAGGGGTTTCACCCCGGCATCCTGGCCAAATTGGCCCACTGGCCTGTCCATCATGGCCTCCTAACCATCCCCATATTATAACTGGCTTCATCACTCTGTCTCCTCTCCACCAATCAGATGGTGTGCGGTCTGGCACAATATGGCTGCACACTGGTGGTGGATGAGGAGATTCCCACCATTGTGTAAAGCAATTTGAGTGCCCAGAAAAGCGCTATTTAAATGTAAGAAATTATTATTATTATTATTAATTATTATTAAAATTTCTGATTTTAAATTGATATTGGATAGAACTAACTAATGCAACTATTTAGCCGACTTCAGTGCTATTTAGTTTGTATAAATATCCAGTTTCACTACACTGAGAAAAGACTATTATGATAAGTAGGAGGCAATTTAGTGTGTTAGCAACATTTGTTGTTCATAGTGGTTTTTAAAAGTAAAATAAAAACACTCTTCAAGGGTATCTGCAGGATTTTAAGAGTTATATTTATGATTATTTTAGCCCTCAAGTGCTCAGCACATATGAGTGCAGCCCTCACAAATCTCTCATTTAAATGAATATTTTCAATAGGAAGTGGTCCAAAATTAGCACACCCAAATTTAAGTGTTGGGGAAAAATATTGAATAAAAAATTAAAAAGAGAAAAATTCAAGACGGCAAAGCAGTGGCGCAGTAAGTAGTGCTGTCGCCTCACAGCAAGAAGGTCACTAATTTAAGCTAAATTGTCCGTAGTGTATGAGTGTGTGTGTGAATTTGTGTGTATGTTTGCCAGTGATGGGTTGCGGCTGGAAGGGCATCCGCTGCGTAAAAACTTGCTGGATAAGTTGGTGGTTCATTCCGCTGTGGCGACCCCGGATTAATAAAGGGACTAAGCCGACAAGAAAATGAATAAAAAATTCAAGAGAAACTAAACATTCATAAAATTGTTGACATTTTTTCCCCAATATTTTGCATGAAATTAAATGTCTTATCTCCAAGTTTTTTTAATGTTCAGTGACTAAAATGATATTTTAATAAATAAATTAATTGAATGAATCTGTTTTGTTCAAATGCACCACAATATACGAGC